TGGTCATTTTAGATTTTTAAAAGCACCTTAAGCAGTGCTAGTTCACAAATCTTGAGCCTTAAAAGGAACAACAGAATACTCCCGGGGGATGAAATTGAAAACAAGGAGGCGGGTTAGAGTCAGTAACTCACAGAGTGAATCAGGAATCCCAAACCGGGCAGTTAATCTTCATTTTTCTTTCTTTTTTTTTTTGGATGAATAAAAAACACTCTTTAACCACTGTGGATTTTGTTACATACACGTACACGGATACCTTTCTACCGGTTGATGAGCATATTTGTTTTCAATGCCTCTGAGCATATCTTACTAGCCTGCGTAGCAGGTGGTATTGTGTGCGTGACATTAAAGTTTTGGCGGCGGAGCCGTGTTCCAAACAAAGGGACGGCTCCGCCGTCAAATCTCACTCGACTACTACACAATACCGCCAGCTATACAGGCTAATATCTTACTAGATGGCTTTGTTATGAAAGAGGTGAACGAGTATTGCTCAAGCTATACTTCTAAGTGGTCTTTCATTTGACCGTTCTAAAAAATACCAGAAGCATACCTGTTGAAGTTATACAAACCAGTGAGTTAAGCAATATTAGGATAAAACTTGGTGAGGAAAAAAGAGTTTAAATGTGAAACATTTATGTAGTGTAAAAATTCTTCTGCCGCGCAAACTTCCCTTTATTACATATATTGTTGTTTAGTGATTTAATTACAATGTCCAATGGCCACCTCACCGCAACGCCTGTTTGAAAGCGAACGATATGTACAAACTGACGCCCTGTTGGTTGTTTTAAAAAAAGATTTGACACTACTTTGAAATCTGGGAACACTTTGTAACTAATTTCCAGTGACTTCTTTCTAGTATCACATACTGTATATTTTTTGCAATTTTTATTTCCAATAGAACCCTGATCAGTGACCGGTAATCAAGGGAAAATTTGTCTCCTTATTCATCGTAACTGTCCTCCTTGGACTTACACTTACATGTAAGTTTCTGCTTCTTTTTTTCAAACTTTTTAAACCGTATATAATAGACTTAACAGACTGTGACACTTTTTTCTATACTATTGCCCGGAACTATCGGGACCATTCCACAGTTTTCCTTGAATCGTTGTTGCGATAAAGACCCCCAGTCGTAGCGAAAACATTATTAAATTCGCCGATACATAACAAAATGCATAAGAGTTGAGTAAGTGACAGTCAGAGACTGCATTAAGTAAGGCTAAAAAAGGACTAATAAATATACCCGAGTAAGGAAAGCAAAAGACGTAGTATTTTCTACCACAAATTACAAATTCAGTTATCTCGATGTTATGTAACAAAAAGTGATTGTAAAGAAGCTGACCTAGCCTGCGTAGCAGGCGTTTCTCTGTGGTTTAGGAGCAAAGAATGAGGAACAAGAGACAGAGACCGCGCGAAAAATGGCGCAAGTAAAAGAGCGGGGAGGGGGTGGGGCTCTGGTTTCATTTCTCGCGCGGTCAGAACCAAAAGTCTCCTTCCAGGATCATTTTTTGCTCCGAAACCAAACTGAAACGCTTACTACGCAGGCTAACGCTGACCACGTTAAAAGATACGTTACCATTTTCAATCCTTTCTATGGTTCACTATAAACAGTTAACTCCCTCTAGCTCTATAGCGGACAATGTAGGGGCCTCGAGTTAGTGTCCATATTGGCGAGAGTCCGTAATAGCGGGAGTTTATTTCAGTCAATCGTCTGTAATTTGTTTTTGCCGGGCATTTAGCTATTGTCCGTTTTATCGGGGTTTCCTTTTTAGCGGGGTGTCCGCAATGCGAGAGTGGGCTGTACCGATCTATCCACTTTTCTTCTTTCCTTCCTTGTTCGTTGTTTTTCTCTATTTCATCTTCTTCCTTTCGCTTCTAGCCGGGATGACGAAGCTCAAACCGTATGAAAGGCTGACATTTAGCGAGCGCGAAAATACGAAATCCTGTGTTCTGATTGGTTAACAGAGCAGGCAAGGTGGGTCTATCTGGCATGCTTGCTATTGTCCATTTTATCCCGCAAGTTAAGGTTTTGCTTTGGCCATATAATAAATTGAGCCATCTTGACCTGACGCTTGGTCTTTAACGCATATTTATCACTCATAAATCTCAAATTCGTCCGCTAGGTTCTCGTAGTAAACCGCTGTGCCCGGAACTTCGTTTGTTGGAAGACTATAACGTGGACTTGACCACCAGTCGCATTGAGTGTAAAAGTGGAAAAGTAAGCAGCAGCATGGATATACCCTTTAGTAAACCACCTTTGATAGAAAAATGATGACCATTTCGCGTACGCTCTATGGGAACACCTAAATGAAAGTTTTCCTTATCCTTTATTTTACTTCAATTTGTGAGGAATTCTACCCCCTCTAGGTACCTAAACAGTGAAAAAGGTACTATTTTCGTACTGAGGCTCTCCGTAAACAGCGTATGGGCCATGTAGGAAATAGAGAATACACTCACTTGCTAACATCATACTGTTCTCGATTTTTCAACAGGATGCGTGAACTCAAGTACGAGGGTTCAAAAAGGGAAGTAGGTGCTCGTAGTCAAAAAGACTTCTCGATATTAGGCCAAGGTCGTTATTTTAGCCTCTTTCTGGAGGTTACTAGTTTGGAAGTAAGGGGGGAGGTTAATTTTTGTCGTGAGGTTATCCCACCTCGTGCGCTAAGAAAGAAAGCTTAAGAAATGAAGGGCTTGCGGCTGTTGCCTATATTTAACGCCAAGTTTATATTTACTCTCATATATTTACTTCTAGTTTTACGAATGCCTAAACTGCTTTTGAAAATGAGACTGCTTTTGAAAATGAACAAACATGTGGGTGTTTAAAGAAAATTTTATTTTGCTAACAAAGCAACTAATAGAGCTAAATTGTCGCAATTAGGACACCAGACACTACACCATAATTTTTAGGGAGTTATTATAGCTCCAAAAATGGAGTAAAAATTTTAGGTACATGCAGGATAACCCCTTTTGGGGGTTATTTTAACTCCTAATTTAACTCCAAATTTAGGGTCATTTTTACTCCTGAAAAAGAGTTCTTTTTACTCCCAGTCTGGAGCTAAAAATAACTCCGAAAGTGGGGTTATTTTACTCCTTACATGGGTTGTTTTTACTCTTTATGGAGTTAATTTAACTCTGAAAGTGGAGTAAAAATTTCAGGGACAGGAACTTCTAACTCCTGAATATCTGGTGTCATTTTTGCTCCTGAAAAAGAGTTCTTTAAACTCCTTTTGGAGTTAAAATAACTCCCCAAAAATAACTCCACTTTAAAGTGCCACTGCGACGAAAATCGCATCTCTTTAAACTAACATTTTTGGGCTCGAAGTTAGTGTTTAGACTTAAAACTTCAAGAAAAAATGTGATTCAGACCAACCTAACGAAGAAGGTTCCTTAAAAAGGCTGTCCGAAAGTGCGTAAAATTGGTCCGCCATTACAAAAACAACAACTATTCGAGCCGACGAATTGAGTTCAGCGGCTTTGCTTTTGTGACGTCACGTTATCCCCAAAATATTCTGACATCGCTGCAAAGCCGACCAAAAGCTATACTAGCTAGTTGTTATGATGTTGTCTGCCTCGTCTTCTTCCATTTCTTCGGAAGACCGATCCGGTTCAAGTTCTGACGAAAACAGCGAAATTTTAGACGACGATGGAACAGCTTTCGTCCCGTATGATGAGGAACTGGAGCCAGTCGCGACCGAGGAAGAGGCTGCTGCATACACGCTAAGTGTGGCTAATGAGGAAGAATGGGAGCTCGTGCTTCAAAGGCGCTTTACTGGCGAATTAGAAGTCGGCACATGGTAGGCACGACTCAGATTGTATTTCTAAGCAGTTCTTTTTCATTTTAAATCTTTTGTGTTATGGTGGAATTCGCCCATAAATTCGAATTTGTTTCATAATTTCGATTGCGTGTTTCTAATACTGAACGGAGAACGCGTTATTTTTGTTTTATAGGTGCACTTGTTCGAACTGTTCGGTCGACATAGCCACCAAGAAGGAAGAATGCATTTGTTGCAAGGAAATAGATCGTGTGGGGGAAGTAATGGAAAATATAGAACGGGCAGGTGATTGTATCACTTTGCATCCCGGGTTTCAGGATGTTTGCCTAAACCGATGGGTTCTTGAAGTGGCATCACTTAACCTGAAGACCAAAGCTGGAAAAAGTTACCGGGCTATTTTCAATCAAGGTCATAAAACGGAATCAGAGTGAGTTAATCATTCCATGATTCATTTTTCTGTTGTTCTTATTGTTCACCTGGGTGTCTCATAAGTGAAAGTGAGCAATTTACTTATTATTTTTGTAAAATAATAAGGTTAAATTATACTCAAAGCCCCGTTTGTCAACAACAAATAAACGCTTACAGTTATATTTCATTATTATTTCTACTACAGTCTATTGCATCCCAGTCTATTTATTATACAGAATGCTCAAAAACTTCTATTGTCAGCCAAAAACTCATATTATTGTATTTTAATCAAAGAAAAACCATGCATGATGAAATAACAGCCTAAACAAATAAGCTGCCACAAGTGACAAAAAACTCCACCAGTCCAGCATATGAAACTGTACATAACTTCCTCATTATTTTTTTATAGGTTTCTTCGATCAGTGTCATACAGACAATTTACTCGACTTCTTTGGGAGTTTACGGGAAGTTCCAAGCGTCATCCACTGCCATGTTGTGCTTACAAAGCAATAAGGACAGCCTTTCTGAGTGAAGATGGCCAGTATCATGGCTTTGAAGATGACGAATCATAGATAGTGTTCATTATCATTATTCTGTATATTTTGTTTTCATACATTATGTGAACCATCCTTTCAAGACTTGTGGTTTGCAAAGAGATTAATATGAGCAGTACAGAGCTTGTTATATTTTGGCTTCTCTTTTCTCCAAAAATGAAAATAATAACAATGATGTGTACCATGAATATTTAGGTCATTTATGTTAGAACAGTACAGTGTCATCAAAAATAAATGATTATCAGGTTTTTCTTTGTAACTTCAGTAGCATTTAATCATTTTGTGAAGCAGTGCATGTGTGTCCTCTTCTTGGCTGTCCACATTTTCTGCATAGCTGTGCTCTCCCTCTTCTTCTGCTTGTATTTGTTCTTGACATTGGTCTTGACTGGTCACTTTCCTCTAACAAGGTTTGCAGTTCAGCTTCTGTAGATAATCAGGTGAAAGTCAAGTAAACTTACAACTGAAAGAAATTAATTCTTTTTCATACAGATTACTATAAAAAATATTGCTTCTGAAAACCTGTTTCCCAGCTTCAAATTCAGTAGAATGTTTGAGTATTTGGATGAAAATGTTGATGAAAAACCTAGAGCGGGTATTGCATTGCCAAGACATTTTACCTGAACATGTTGGAGGACAAATCACTGTTTCCTTGTTTTTTCTTTCATTGTGTTTCCGTATTGCATCATCTTTGGATTGCTTCTCAAGCATTGAGTGCATAGGGTCTGGAACCACCTGTTTTAGCTCTTCTTCTATCAGTTGGAGGTTCCGTCGTGGAGTTGTTATTAGAGATTCATAAATCTCCGCCACATACTCTAAGGAGAAAGGCAGTTACAAAAGTTCTTCACGGAAGTACTTTGCATAATGACTTCACAAGCTAAAGTAAGTTCACTTTTTGACTAACTGTGATTATTAGAATCTACATTTTATTCTCTCTAGAAAGGAAATGTGGATTACAAGACATCATAAGTAGTAGCTTATTAGCATAGCTAAATTAAATTGCTGAATATTTTCTGACAGCAGCTAACCTGTCTGCAGTCATGATAATACCAGGAAACCTGTTGATGTACACCTGTACATGTAGATATTTGATTTTGAGAATAGACATCATTTTAAAGTTGTCCAACTTGGAAACTTACAGGTATACTTTGCTACAATGGTCCTTATCAAAGACTTACCATAATTAGGAGCTACCCTGACTTCCCTGACTGTTGCTTCTCCTTCCTTGTACTTTGGGTATGAGATGTGAAGGCGTGGTTTGCCCTGGTCATCCACCTTTGTCTCTCTTCTGAGGTTGTAATTAAAATGAAGGGCAGCCAGTACTGATCTTAAAAAAAAGAAAAGGAAGAGAGAAAGGTACAAAGTAATCAGAATGTATTAAATTATGTGACAAGTTCTACCAGTTTTGCAAACTGCCTATATCTATCAAAAAAGGCATCCCAGCATCCCAGTGCCTTTCCTCATACTTTTTGAATTTTGTTTGCTTTTTCAAGATTTACTTTAGTGTTGCTATGTTTAAATACATAAGCCTTAAATTTCACGTACCTACAAAGCATTCCCAGGTATGAGTAGGCCAGCATCTTTGGGGCAAATTGGTTGACTACTGAATGATACCCTTCCAGGCAGCTTGTTTGCTCAACTGAGGAAGCTTTTTCTATTCCTTTAGTAAGGCTGCTTTTCGTAAGGGCGGTATACAGCTTTTCATATGCCTCTGACACTAGCATGAATGAAAGCAATACAGTGGAAATGTTTGTCATATTGTGGTTTTTAGATGAAATTTATAAATCAGGTGATCACTAGTTGTAAATTATTTTTTTTATTTAGGGTAAAAAAGAAAAAGGACAGTGATATTTCATATTTTTCATATTTTTTTCAATTGTTGACAGTTTTTAGTTGCATTTGAGCAGATGGGGCTGAAATTCTTGAACATGACCGAAAATAGCTCAACCAAGCTTTGCAATGTTACAGTTATGTAGTCGTATATCCAAGACATTTGGTCAACATAATAAGATCAACATAGAGTGCGGCAGCAAGTGAGGCTTTTGTACCTTTAGACATCCATACTTTTGGTGTGATGACTTCACCGTGAGCACAAGCATTGAATAGCCTATTAGGAAGGTTCTTGTGTTTGTTGATGACATGACTGAGGAATGCTTGGAACTTTGCAACCTTGACCTTTCCAAGACTTTCTTGAGTGGAGGTCACTGCCCAGTAAAAATGTCTAACACAGGCCTTCCTCCAGCGGCCAATGATCTCACAATTTTTTTCCTTGCTCAGTTTTGTTAGAACTTTTTGGATTTCTGTGAAAATAGCAAAACAATTGAACATTAAGTGCTTTTCTACAATATACATGTACAATAAATTTGATCAAGGCACAGAGAAGCAGAGACATTGTCTCCTCTGATAATGAGAGTACTATTTCACTACAGATTCTAGGTCATAGGTTTTTTACACTGTGCCCTAGGGCAAGGTACGACAATAACTATAATAAAAAGAAGTAATGGTAATATTGATATATGTATATGATGTATATGATTACATACGATGAAAACATATTAGGTTACTTATTGTTTTTGCATACTTTTCCCAATGTGCCAAAGATCAAAAAAATGATTGATAACTGGCTTGCCAAGTTCAGCACACTTCTTGCCACATTCTTCTCTCATCCACTTAGCAATGGAAGCATGGCGGTCAGAGATAAATGACTTGACAATCATGCCTGTGGCTAGAATATATGTCATGGCTTCCTTGAAGGCCATAAACTCGATACCAGAACTGCTTCCTGCCTGATTAGCCTAGAAAATACAAGACAGACGGGTGTTTTGTTATAAATGTGTTTTTTTTTCTAGTTCAAGCATTCAGATTTTGTCTTTTGACCACATTTCTTTAACATGGCCTTGCTTTTCTGATTCTGCAGTTCATAGATATTTATAATAATTATTGAAATTAAATTTACCCTTGCTTTGGGTTTGGTGTTACTACATGACTGTATGATTTTTATGAGGTTTTTTTCACTTGCCTGTAATAAAACAATATGAATAATAAGGCCAACAGTACAACAAAATATAGTATAAGTGCCATATTTTGCTGAGTGGCCCATGCTGTCGTGGCGCCCATCTCCTGCTAAAACTACTTCTTTTCCTTTCAGGGAATCCAGCAGTTTTGTTTGGTATTTACGCCAGAATGAGATGATAGTGGGAATGAGGAGATGCCGCTGATGGTAGTAGTAGGTGGGCTCATTGTAGACAAGTACTCCCATGTGCCGAAACACTGTCAACATTTTCTTTATTGATGCTCCAGCACAAAGAGTTGCAAAGCTGAGGAGAAGGTTGCCTGCTGGAAATTTGCCCATAAGGAATGGCTGGCTTTCCCAGGTAAATATCTCTTGACAACTGCTGCATTTGGCTTTAATGGTCAATAGAGTTCCTGTTTGTGTGCAAACAGTTTCTGGGTTGGGAGTAAGACAATAATGGCAGTATTGAAACAGTAGTAACAGCTTGGATAAAAAAACAATGCCTTTAGGCTCCTCACGCTTGTTCTTTCCTGCGTAGTTCAGCCTGTTGTGTGATAAATAATAATAGTAATTTTAGAAATGAGTCAGATATTTCCCATTTTTCATCCAATGTCAAGTCATGGAAGATGCCTTTAAAGTCATACAAAGAAATAATCAGTGTATCGTACTCTCTCTTAAAATACTAATACATGTATATCTCCAGGACAACACATTTAATGGTGTTGCTGTGGTGGATGTGCCTTTTTTAGGAAGGGATAGGGGGGTAGAAAGGCTTTTTCTCCCTTTTTTACTTCGCAAATAATGAGATTTTTATTCAAGACAAGATGGACCACACTTGCATGCGCATGTCTACATTAACTAGTAAGTTATGGTACATCCTATACAGTACCTAGGCTTTGTTGTTTGGCTGTCATTCACATTATCGTCTCCTAATTCCTGATAGACTTCATCTAATTTTTCAGGAGTCCAGTCAGGATCATCATCATTCTCAGGCTCTTCATTGTCATCATCGTCATCACTAATCTCTGTAAAGTCATCTACACTGTTATTCTGGTCACCAAACACAGTGGAATTAGCATTGTGAGCTTGTGCTGTGTTATCTAGAGAAAAGGAATCATTATGGCTTAGATTATCTATATTTGTAGCCTATCAACGACAAATAGATTATTTATCTGATGGAATAGTTTCTGTAATTTGTACTAAATTTGAAAAAAAATTGGATGTTGTTTGAAAACCAAGGTTTGACTGCCTTTTTACTAATATACATGGAGTATCCATCAAAGATAAACAGCACAAATGAGAATAACTGCAAAGTCTTGTATAGCCCACAATTTGGAATACTCCTCCCCCCCAACAACCCAACACAAATTCAGAACACTCACTACAATCTGACTCTAAATGATCTTTAGATGCATTTAAGTGGATCTCCTGCAAAGTCTCCACCCACTGCTTTTGATTGTTTTGCGAGCTTGTTAGTCAGTCTGGTGACTTTAAATCGTAATACTTTTGATCTCTTTTTGAGTTCTTTATTCTCTGTAGAGAGGTCTTGACAAGTGCTGCATTCACCTTGATTTTCATGTGCCTATCAATAAGTTGAAAATTCAGCTTTTAATATCTTTACATGTAAAAAACTGTCACTTTAAATGGCTTATGCATTGGCCCCAGTCAACATATTTAGTATACTGTGGTAATCTAAAATTATTACTTTTTGGCTGTATATGAGTCTACAATGACGTGGCCAAAAGGGCATCAGAGTGAAACATTTGTACGAGTTCTAAAAAATGTTTTTCTTTTCAATTGCTGTTGCAGTTGCCCGCTGTGTTTTAAAACCATAACTTCCTTTTGGAGGTTTGTGGGTTTCTTTTGTGACTTATTGTGCATGACAGTAAAAATGAAGTACAGCAGTTTGAAGATACTTTGAAGAAAGTCAAAGTGGACTAACATTCAATAAAAAAAAAATAATGTTGCTTGCTTCCTGTTTATGATACTTACAGTTGGGGTTATTGGTGTTGATGCAGCAGCAGGTAGAAATTGTGATGAGACATGGTCCTACAATATTGTTAGAAGAACAAAAGTCAAATTCTCATAACAATAGATGTAATAATTATTATAATGAAGGTAATATGGTACTGTTACACGTTTTCTTTGAAATAAAAGAAATCCCTTACCATCGAGCTTGATGAGCACAGTGAGTTACTTGTATCCATATCTGCATGCACTGAACCTTCTATTGGAGTTGTTTCAGTAGTTTGTTCAACCTAAGAATAAGTATAATTTTTGATAAGAATGTAAGAAGCATGCCATTTTTTAAGCAAAGCAAGTGGAAGTCTGCCCGGAAATACCTGCATTGAGTTTGATGATGAAAGGGGATCGTTTACTGCATACTCCTCAACCTCTTCTTCCATTTCTTCAATTTCATTACTGTCCGGCTCCCTCTCCAGCTTCATAAGAAAAACAAAGAAGCTATATCTAATTTATCTTTTTTATGAATGGTGGCCAATACCCTCTTCTTTGTATTCAGAGTTAACTTATCAGGAAAATATAAACAAATTTTAACTCCAACATATAGGCCAGTAGCTCTAATGGATTCATACAAAATAATAACAAACCGACTGCCGTTTATGTGAGAGGCTATAAAGTCACCATTGTGAGATTCCTAAAAAAAAAGGCTCGTAGCTGGACATACCTGCACCGCAGATTCCCCACTTGCGGGTAAATCAAACTCTTCATCTTCTTCAAGTTCTTGCGAGGCGGCCACGTTGCTAGCTTCGTGCACGGCTAGGATATGTTTCATTGCCTACAGACCAGAATTTAGTTTTCCAGTAAAAAAAAAAAAAAAAACACCGAAGGTGTAAAGATATTGATCGGCAAATCCATAATGTTATTTTTTAACGATCTTACAGTTCAGCATCAATAAATGATCTTGCAGTCTCAAAGAACTAAAAAATATTATTCGTTTTACGAGTTGAAAGCCTGCAGCGAAGGCAACCAAAACACTGTATAAGTGACTTATTCATTTTCGCTCGAACGCGCGAAACACGACAAAACCACTACTGGGCTTTCAGTTCTTGTCATATCTGTTCATTACTCAGTGTGCATGTAGTTTACGCCTGTGTTTTAGAAAAAAACCCTTTTGCCCTTTCTTATGCCGGCTTGAAGCTGAAATACCGCGATCCCAGGAAGTGTACGTGTGAACAAGGATCAAAGGTCTACAATGTTTTATTACTTACCATACGCCGGTCTCTCGCTGACATGGCACTGGAATTGCCCGCTTCACCTAACTTCCAAATCGTTGGAATGGCTCCGGCAAGTGTAACTCTCGGAGCGCCAGGTACATGAACTGCCCGCTCGAAGCAATCGGCAGTGAAATGAACTGAACAAATCTTGAAGAGCCCTTTGGGGTTGAAGTTGGCGCGATGTGTTCGGACGAAGGCTTTCCATTTCTGGCTTTCAAAGCTAGTCTTCGGCTTGTGCAAAGAAATGCCTAATTTAGGATTCGACCTGTTGCTACAGTCTTGAACGACGCAGCGACAAGAAGGCATCTTTCCGCGATGCAAATGAGCGAGATCAGAAAGTCCCCTTTTTCTCGTGAAGAGATCTCACTTTGCTAATATTCGCGCTCTAATTTAAAGGATACGATGACGTAACGCTTGACCTCGAACCAATCCCTCCCTTTCGCTCCGCCATTTCTTGTTTCGGTAATGGCGGACGTCCACCGGAGAAAAACATGGCTCAAAAAGTCGGACTTCCAGTTGGAATTACGGTCTCAAATTTGGTATGTGTATTTATTAGCTTTCAAACATTGTAAAAAACGAAAAAAACAAATGATGCTTGATTTGATCACAGTAGCACTTTAAGGAGTTAGATTAACCCCACTAGATGATATATTATAACTCCTTAAAAGTTACTGTGTACACAGTGGTCAACTTTAAACGAATTAAATGTCAAACTTCAATTAAATTCGTTTTATGATCACACCAATGTCAATTCGGACAGAGAAAGCTGAGTTTTAGGAATCTATTTGCATTATTTTTAAACCAAAGACTCTGAAGCCTTACTATTTACGGGAGAGAAATATTGATTTATTAGTCTGATCATTCAGGCCAGTAAAGGATGCGATGACCCCATATTCTTTAAGGGAGGGCCGGGTAGCTGCAAAAGGATTCTGACACGAGTATCTAATTACGTTTATAATGATGAAATTCTGACAAAAGATCAATGTTAGAAATGTCGTAAGTAAGAAAATAAAACAGTGCAAACTTAAAGTTTCAACATATACTATTATGATAAAAATTTTAAGATTGTATTCTTTCTTTATTGATAGATTAAAAAAGTCAACTTTTTTTGTACATGAATAGTGAATGTATCAATATAGCTGGCTGTATTTCTCTGTACAGCTAGCTAAATTCAAAAGGTTGTTTGGATCACCAAAATGTCTCCTAAATACATTTTGGAAACATGGGTGTTTTAAAAAAGGCAAACGGTATAAAAGGATAAAACAACGACAAGAGAAGAACATTGCTCAAACCGAGATGCAAAATCACTATTTCAATCAACATTTGATGATATTTTGAACTCTCTTCAATTTACTTAATTCCTATTTTCTCTTGTTTTAATTTTCTTTTCCTTCTTATTTTTTTCAGATCGTAGAAGCCCTAAAGCTCAGGGTTGCTGCAGTCCAGACTGTGATTATTGGCTGGATCGTTTGGGAATCGATAAAGCAGCAGTGATATGTCGAAAAGAAGCAAGCTAATACATATACATAAGAAGCCAACCTCATTTATTGGGCCTTTCTTCTCCCTAAATGCCTACTGGGTTGGGCAATAAAGAATGAGAACAAGAGCAAGGCTGGCTGAGAAGTTTCGCATGTACTGTTTATTCCGATGTGTAAATTCAACGAAACCAGGTTTTTTTATAAGTCAAAGGATAGTACTTTAAATTTAGAATTGCAGTATAGCACCAATTAAAAGATGTATAGTGTATAAGGTAAAGGAGTACTGCTTATTTTCATGTCTGTTGATGTAGCTTTGTGACCTATGCTGATATAATTGTCAAAAATGAATCACGAAAAAAAGCCTGAAACGTGTGGTTAACAGCCAGTTAAAGGCATTTGCAATAAATACTGATAAAGCTTGAACCCAACAATGTCTTTTCTTTGATGTTTCATAATGGGAATCTGGCCAGACAGAGGCGCATATGTAAGACATGAAGGGTAGTGTTATCTTCTCAAAATTCTCTTAGTGGTGGGGTTTTTGGCAATGGTATCTGTCAAAGCTGTATAGAGAAGAGTCTCAAAAAGGCCACTACCCAGCCCCTTACGCAGGCGTTTTTAGGGGAGCTCGTATTTCATCCCTCCCCACGGGAGCGGGAGGAAATACGAACAAAATACCAGCTCCCCTAAAAACGCCCGCGTAAGAGGCTAGCCACTACAAGCATTCATTTCTTTTTTCCCTTCTTGCTTCAATCAGTTTAATAAAATCTTATCAAGATGTTATCCTTTTCGACTCCCAGAAGTGGTCAAAGTCAAAATCTAATAAAAAGGAAACCTGAATTTTATTTACTAAAATACTGAAAAACAAATAGTACCTTGTTAATGATTTGCCAAAGAGGCCATTTTAAATATGATCCACTCTATGATTACGTCCACACACTGAAAGGTTAAAACCACCTTACAAGACTCCAAATTTTTCTCGAATTCAAAAGCTTAAGATCATCTCCCTACAATGATCACTACCTATCGACCTTGTGGACAGTCCACACAATCACTCTTGTTTTAATCTCCCTACAAGGGCCACTCGTCCACAACAGCAACGGCGACTAAATTTTTTCTCCACTGTTGAAATAACCTCTCCGCAAACGGTCGTTGAATAAAAGCGAACAAAATACAAACTGACGTTCTCAATTTACCTAAGTTACTTTGATTTCAAAACAGTTTTGCTCTGAACATTTGGTTTATGATACATTGATAAGTTGGCGCCCGAGTATGGTCCTCCTTGGGCACTAATGTGAACACTCCCTATATTCAAAGTTCAAACGCCATGAGATCGGAAACGGTTACATGCCCGAGTACGACGTCGAGACTGTATTCAAGAACTATTGTGAGCGCCATTTCAATTTACAAATATTTGCTTCAGGAGCCATGATCAAGTATGGCTCCTGATTTACATATAAATCATAATATAATGTCAATTTGCACAAGGACTCTCCTTCCAATAATTCCACGCGCGTTACGTTCCAGGAGTGAGGCCTGAGGCAGATACTTTCAAAGTCGCTATCCTTTCTTGACGCTAGGTACGAATAACACCTTAGATTCTTTATAATAATTATTTATAATTTTGAAAAATGACAAATAAAGAACTTGTAAAAGAGTAAAATAAAATAACAAAAATTTGGAGAGGAAGACAAGCTTAAGTGAACTTGAGAATCCTGTCTTGTTGCAATACGAGAAAAATCCGGATATTGAAACCCTGATTTTGTCAACAGGCTGAAATGTTTCCAGGTCAATCATTTGTCTAAACATCAGCCTGAAGGTTATTGCTTTTCAGTTTTTTAGATGTCAGCATGAAGCGTATTAATGCTTTACCTGGATAACAGTTATGTTTTGTATAGATTTCTGGTTGCCGCTGTACACTTGAGTAATATACGGAACTAAATATTTAAAATTTCTCTTTATTAGTTTTAAACTCAACCTAGCGTCTAGCTTATTGGTTCTTGATTCTTATTAATTCTACAGAGTAGTGAATGTCGGTGGCAAAATTAAATGTCATTTCCGTTTTTCTTGATGCCAGTATGTAGACTAATCAAATAGAAATCTCTAAAAGCAAAACAACACCCGATGCAGTATGCATGCAGAACCCCTATTAAAATATGATGTCAAAAGGTTCATAAACAGGGAATATTGACATTTCAAATGAATTATGGTTTAAAAGTTCTGCTTGATTAAAAAACTTATTTTAATCTATTGTAAAAAGGTGTGGCGATGGTCTCTTGGCGTAAAAAAAGAGAGAACAGTTTGTGTTTTACAGCCTGGAAACAAAATTTTCGATGGAGAGTAATTTTACCCTTGGCGATGGATGTATTCGACACAGAAAATATTTTGAGGAAAACGCCTTCCGTGCGATTATAATTTCCTTGGTCAACATTCCCCTCTGTGTAATGACTTTACTTGGAAATGCTGCCATTTTGATAACAATCTTTAAGACTCCTTCCTTGAGTACACCAGCTTATATTTTATTCGGCAGGCCTTGCCTTTTCCGATTTTACTTTTGGCTACATTGTACAATCCTTACTTTTGTCGATTGTACTCTCTGCTGGATATAACCATTATTTACCACTAACAACGTTTCGTCTTTTGTGTTCAAGCTTCAACTGTTCGGCCATCGTTTTGTGTGGAGTTTCTCTTGGGACCAGTACAGCAGTTGCGTTGGACCGACTGCTTGCTCTCCGCTTACACTTGAGATACACTGTCATAGTAACTAAGTATCGTGTAATCGTAGTTTTAACATGTATTTGGTTGTTTCAGGGATTTCTGGTGCCAATTTATGTCTGGCAAGTGGGAACCTTTGGCAGATTTATGGCCATAAAAATTTGTGTTGTAATAGTTGTAAACTTCGCCATTTATTTCAATATCCACCTCATTGTGCGACATCAGATCCGAATTCAACATCAACAACCTGAACAAAGGGCCGACGCTTTTATCATAAGAAGACTTAAGAAGTCAGCCTTCAACACTTTTCTTGTATTTATATTCCTTCTTATTTGAAGCTTGCCTTTCCTTTATCTCTATTTTAATAACGGGGTATCGATCACAGTTCTTTACATCGCAAGAATTATGATCTCTCTTAACGCATCTTTCAATCCCTTTCTATATTCCTGGAAACTTCGTGAAATACGTTCAGCCACAAAACAAATTTTCTGCCGTTCGTAAGTAGAATGTTAATAGCCTGCATGACACCTGGCACCATTCTTTTTTCGGAAAATCACATTCATTTGACCGAAGAATACATAGCTACCAAGAGCCATAATGGGATTACGGCTCTTGATAGCTATATAAACTCTGGAACAGTTGACCTCGTGAAATAAGTATGGACAAATCCCTTAACCATTCCACAAAACTTATCTTTTAAGAAAGGCTTTTTCTTTTAATAGTTAAGTTTATCAACTACCTATTCACTGTGCATGATGACATACCATGAAAACTGCGTAATATAATTTTTTTAAAATTATTGTTGTTATTATTATTATCATTAATACTGTGAACAAACAGTGAAATTCCGTCCGCGCAAAATTATTTGTTTAGATTGGTTTTCACTAGCCTTATTATTACTATTTTAAGTCGTAAAAATATTTTAAATCACTCATCCTTGACATATTTTATCGGATTTAAATTATTGTTCAATGTATTCTTATCTGTTTAAATTATTCTTAAATGTTTGTGATACATTTATTTATGCTAATTTTATATTTTACTTTCATTTGAGAATTACCTGGATTTTTCGAAACGTCGTGACGTTTTAGCGTCAACTTTTATCACAAAACTATT